ATTTTGCAATTTGAAAGTGACTTCTGCAAGTTTTGACTCTAATTCCTCTACATTTTTCTTTACCTCAATTTCAGATGTTTTAGGCAGTTCAATTCTACTTTTGTACCTAGTTTCAGGATTTTCATGTAATTACTTACTGTTTTTGAATTTTTTTCATAATAAATATAAGCATTATCACATCTTTAAAAAAAATAATTATTTAAAAATAAAATTAATTTTATTGGATTCATTTTATTTAAGCTTATTAAATAATAATACTTTTATATTTTAAGATTAATAGATAACAAGATATATGAATTTGTAATTTTAATTTTTTATAATAATTTATATTTATCTTTAAAAAATCACATATAATTTATTACAAAAGTATTAATTTTTAATAACATATTTAAAAATTATTTTAATTTATAAAATAAACTTATCTACAAATTTTAATTAAAGGATAGCTATTTAAAAAATATAATTTCTCTTTAAAAATACATAAATGATTAATATTAAATAAATTTTTAACAGAAAACTTATTTACTTTCTTATATATAAAAAATATATGTATTTAAAAAATATTAAGAAATATTTATATATATATTGGAATATTATAATTGATATTTTTTAAATACAATATACCATAATTTTTGATCATAAATATAATCAGATCAAATCAAATAAACAATTGAAAATGAAATATAACAATATCATTAACAAATTAATGTAACTAATTAATCATAGTCTTCATGTATAAATATTTTAACCCTTGCTTGTGTGATAGCCGAATCAAACAAATATTTCTTTATGTTGGAGTTGTCAGGAATACTTGATAAAGGAGGTAAAGAAGTAGTTATAAGATGCTTTCTTTGTTGTTCACGAGTTTTCTGGGACTTAGGTAACGGTAGAAATATTTTTCTTGCATGAGGAAAAGGAGAAGCACTCAACATTTGAGAAAGAAACAAATTCGGCATATATTGTTATGATAATTATCCATTAAGAATTAATTAATTGATACTTTTGAAAGCCATTGTGACTCCAACGATCAATACTGAAAATCTCGTTTCACAAAAACAATAAATCGTATGCTGTGATACCAATGATTGATAGAAAATTATATAACTATTAAATTAATTTCCAACGATGTTAGACTTACGTTGGTAAAAGTGGAAGAGAAGTGGAAGAAACACGGAGAATATAATATGACTGGTTCATCTTCTACCAAGATAAATTATTTCGTGAGCACTTGTTTCTCTATGTTGTCCATTCTCAATTCGATTTAATCGTTCAGTAAGTTCTCGAATTTGAGCTTGAAGTCTTACTGTTGAATTATTAGACTCATCAACAACATCAGCATCATTATTATCCCGATTATTCATAATATTCTTAATTGATCCTAACCAACAACTGCTAATAACTTGATCTTGTTCGGAAGCTTGTTCGGAACCTTGTTCAGAATCTTGCTCTAGTCTGTCAGTATCAACAACTAATCTTCGAGTTGTTATTGGACAAGTGAAAAGAACTAAAACAGAGCCAAAGAACGTGAGAGCGAGACCTGGCGCCAATGCGATATCATAATTATTATTACTATAACCGGAACAAAAATCGTAACAATAAGAATGTGTGCAGGTCTTGCAAGAGTTAAGACAAATGGAATAACAGGGATAGGGTTTGGAGGTATTATAAAAGGTAAGAAAGCAAGCCCCAGCAATTATAAGAATAAACCCAAATAACATAATAAAAAACCATTTTAGTTTTTTCATAAACATTTTATCAATAAATAAAAATAATAATAATATAATAAATTATTCATAAAAAAAAATTGATTATTTTGGTTTAAAGTTTTATAAATAAATTTTTTTTTTTTTGTTTGTTTCGGAGGCGGCATAGTCTGAATAAAGTTGTATAATGAATCATTGTATCATATAAGATCATAAATAATGGTAATCTGTGTAATGGAAAATATTCTTATTTATATAATAGAAATTTTTCTATCATTATCAAAGAAATAGGAGTCATTTATTTGTGTAACATCTGTCAATATAATAGACTTTAGAAATGATCGACACATGGGATGGTAAGCTATTAAAATCACGTTACGGATCATATGATTTACTATGTTCGTAACTCGATTTGGACAACTTCTTCTAGTTTGTTGTAGATTCAATTTTCATTATAATAATTTGATTTTTTGTATTAAAAAGATTTATGTAATTTCATTTGGATTTTTAATAATTTGGGAGGTTTGCTATTAAAATCGAGTTACGATCATATTGCTCCTTATCATCAATCACTAACAATATAATATTTAGCCAAATCCTCAATAATTACCATACCTAGCTTAGGAAGACGTGACAGCTCTATGTTTCATCATAATACTGGCTATCTAACGTGCCGGATGACTATCACACGTCATCCAGCCTTGTAATGACGGTTAGAATTCAATTTTTTTATGAATTATTTTTATAAGCTTTGATATATCATTAATAATCCATCGGATAACAATTTGATTTTTACACAACACATTAGAAAAGGTTAGTTAAATCTTTTAATTAAACAATAAAGAACAATTTAAATTGTTTTTGAATTCATTATTTGATACACTACAAATCAAGAAAATTTTAAGAATTGAGCTGAAAATAAAAATTCTCGGATAATATTGCGCGTATACACTTTAACTCAATTATCATGAAATTTTCATGTAGTATTTATTGAAAGTTGACTCCTTTTTTATGTTTCCATATTTCATAAAATTTGTTTGTCGTAACAAATCAAATACTTCAATATGTATGCTTTTGTCATTAATATTATCATATTTCAAAAAAAAATAATACGATTGTAAGCTTATTGGTTTATTAACAAAAATATTGATATTGACTTATTTTTGATTATTGATTTGACTCTCGAAAGTAATTTTGACTTTTGGTTTTACATTAAAAATTACTAAAGGGTGGGCGAAATCATATTTTCGAAAGTTTTTCGACATTCGGTATTTCTATTATTAAATAGTTTTAAAGTATATAAATTACGAAAAATTAAATACTAATTTTGGCTTCATAATTTATCAAGGAATAACATTATCATGATTTACAATTAATTACATTATAATTCACTTTTTCAGAAACACCTACAAAAAAAAAAAAAAAACCTAAATCCTAATGAATTTACATACATATTGAAAAACCAAAGGCGGAGGGGGAAAATTATGTAATTCGGGTAATTTTTTTTTTTATAAAGTCGAAATTACTTCTTATAAAGAGTGAATACGAATCGATGTGATTAAATCCAAACTATAGACTGATACCCAAAACAATAAATAAAATAAAACTTAGAATTATTTCTACGCAGCTCTTTTTGAGAACTCAAAGTCAAGGTATACAGGTTTAAAGTATGATTTAATTTAAATGTTAATAGTGCGATCGAGTCGACCAGAGTTGTTTGACTCGATTTGAATTTTTTTTCTCGAGTCGGGACTTCATTTTATGAACGAGTCCTAATTCAAAAAAACCCGCCGGATCAGGGTCACTTGTTTGCTTGGACCCGGGTCGACCGGATTGATCAGGCAAACTGATGTAAACGATATAAATTGACGCGCTAGACTTTTTTTGATTTACGGTACGCGACTTCTTCTTAGGGATTGGAATCGATTCTAATAAAATCGAATCGAATTAATCGAAAATCGAATCGAAATCGAATCTATTTTTGGACATATATAATGCTCAGCACCCGCGCATTACAATATTTAAAGTGTCTATCTACTGTATATGGAGTGGAAGTTGAATTAGATTTTAGTTACAAATATATGAACGAATGTAAATTTTTTTACAATTATTCATGTCCAATAATTAAATAAACAAAATATTAATAAATATTAAACCATAAAATGATATAAATTGTATAGTATTATTAAATTATTATCATTAAACTAGTGGTTTTATCCGGGCGATGTCCAGGGGTTAGCTAACATGACGTGAAATAATTTTTTAGCATATCGAAATTTAATATAAGTAATACAATTTATTGATGTTTTTTATAAATAATCCAACCCAAACTCTAAACTATCCCTAATCTTAACACTAACTCATCGTTTTATAAAAACATATCCGACTCTAACTCTAACCCTAATATTCTAACATTAACTCGTAAATGATGTAATTATTTAATTTCAATTTTTAATGATAAATTTATTTTATTAATTGATTTTTTTAATTTTTAAATAATTAAATTCTTTAATTTTATAATTTATTTATTAATTATTTTTTTAAGATATAAAGTAAAAGAATAAAAAATTAACAGAAAATTAAAAAATTTTTTTTGAATTATTTTTTTTTATTTAATGTTTAACGTTCGCCCGCGATTTTTTTTTTTTAAAATTTTTTTTTTTTTTTTTTTTTATAATCGCGCATTCTAATATTTAATATTTTTTAATTATTTTTTTTAATTTGCATATACATATCCCCATTTTTTTTAATTTAATTTTTTATTTTTATTTTCCCGATTTAATTTATTTAACAGTTAAAGTGTTTAATTAAATGAATCGATTATATTCGATTAATCGAAATCGAAAATCGAATCTTAGGGAGAAACGATAATTACGATTAAATCGATTCTAAATATTGAAATCGATTCCAATCCCTACTTTTTCTAGAAAACGAAAAGCATTGCGGAGTGAGCTATTACAGGTAAATTATCGATTAATAAACATTAACTAATACATTTTTTTAAAAAGCAAAAAGTGTTCCAGTAGAACGAGTTTTTTCTTGCGGAACGAACCAAAAGATGTGGTCATAAAGCTAATACAATTCGTCGGTATGTGCTTGAAATTGTGGTGGAAATAAAACAGAATTAGGATTAATGCTCACAAAAAAAATAATAATTTTAAAATTAACATAAACTTTATATGACACTTTTTTATTTTCGGCATTATATTAATTACGAGTCGAATCCGGGTTTTGTAATTATTAACGGGTTTGAGCTCGAATAATTTGAATATTTCTAAACCCGACTAGAAATTAAAAATTAACCGGTTAATGATTTTTTTTAACCGGTAAATAGATGAACTTAACTCCGGCCGAAATTCATTTCCGGCCAGAATTAAGATTTTTATGATGCAAAATATTGTCTAACTCCAGCCAAATTTATAGTACTGGCCTAAGTTAATTTTAACCGGTTAATTAACCGGTTACATAACTTAGGAATGTATCAACAAAAAAGCATCAGCAAAATCTTTTGGAAAGATAAATTGTTAAATTTAAAAAGAAATGTAAAACTAGATATATAAAGTTCTCAATATTATTAAATGTGAGGTTTGCTATTACAAACGTAGAAAAATCAGATTCTGAGAATTTTTTTGACTAAATTTAAGATCTTCTTACATTTTATTCTAATATCATCCAAAACTAAAATGCAGTAAAAATTAAATTTTGTTAAAATCTTAGAGTCTGATTTTTCTAACAATCTGTTCATATATTCCATAATGTGATTTAATAGCAAACTCCTAAATATTTAAGTGTTAGAGTATAAATTTTTTTTTAAATTTTTATTAATTTGATTTAGAATAATTATTTCAATAACAAAGTTAATCTACAATAAACATTAATGAACTTCAATTAAACAAATATTATAATTACCTTTTGATTTTTAGAATAAAAAAAAATACCAATAATTTCTTCAATATTATACATCTTTTATTTTTAATATCCAAATCCATTGTTAAATAAAGTAAAATAAATAATTTTTACATAGTGTAATAAATAAAATATCTTTGTAATATTAATAGATTTATTAATGAGTTATTCTGGTAAAAATGCAAATTTTTGATTATTATCTCTTATCTGGATTATTATTAATAAAAAATTAATATTAATTTATTAAATTTGTTTATATATTATTTAGTAGTAAAGAAATAATAAATAAAATAATTATCTTAATTATAAATTTAATTATTTAACAAAGAATTTATTAATTTTACTTACTTGATTTTATATCTTTTATTATAAATTCAAGAAGTTTCTTCATAATACTTTATTAATTAATTTATTACCATTTAAATAATTACTATTATTATATTATTATTAAGTTTATTTCTTTTAGATTTAAACTTTTAAATCTTCTTTATTTTTTAAATAATGAGTA